GACAAATAAATGGGTCCTAGAGCAAATCAGTCCTGAATCTTCCTGGAAGCCAAGATGAGTAAACTGAAGCTGTTTTACTTTGGCCATATCATGAGAAGACATGACACACTAGAAAAGACAATAATGCTTGGAAAGATGGAAGACTGCATTACAGATGGATAGACTCAATCCAGAAAGCCACAGCCCTGAATCTGCAAGATCTGAGCAGGGCAGTTGATGACTTGGAGGTCTCTTATTTATTGTGTCACCATGAGTATAAGTCAACCTGAAGGCAGCTAACAACAACAATAGTGCAGCTTGTCACAAAAGAAAAACACAACTGGCTGCAATTCTCTCACATGTAAGAACAGGGATCCAATCCCTTTGGTTCTGTTCATCCTTTCAGCAGCTAGGAACAGAAATCTCCTCCAGCTTTCTCCATCGCTTCGTCTCCATGCTGGGAAAAGCAAAACCTGTTGAATTTCTGCCTGCTATAAAGCAGTGAAATATGTGTGCTAGTCCTATCAGCTGTGGAGGTAAAGCCCCTGTCTGGCAGGGTTGCCAACTTATTCTTAGTAGCTGCATCATAAAAAGCAACTTGACAGGAGAGGAATAAGTAGGGGGAAATTTTCACAGTGGCAGGGAAGTGAGCAGCCTTGTGCTTTTTAGCAATAAAAATCACAGGTTCTGGGCTACCTCCCTGTTTTTCCTAGTTCTCCTTCTACAATAACCTCTTTCCAGTCTATCCACTTTCTTCTCCATTTGCATCCAGGCTGCAAGGAGCGAGCCGAACCAGTTTCTGTGGTATTCCTGAAGGTAGTGTGTAGGCTGAGATGCACACTTATTTAAATTTTCATACCTGGCATTGCCCTGATGTTTACTCACACTTTGGCACACTGTAGGTCTCTCTGCAGAAGCGGCTTTGTTTTTGCAGAAGAGTGGGTGATGCATTTGGCTGCTTATCCTGACCAAATGCTGAAGCTGAGATTTCAGCTTGGTCCTTCTCTTCAGACCTGCTGTAAACACAAGGAACCTTTCCTGGCCGAGATATGCTTAATCATTTTTTAACAAAGAAAATGCTTCACCTGAATATGTACGAAGTACAGAGCTGGCCCAGTAGTTTGCTTGTTGCCTTAGACCAGGGGTAGGCAACCTAAGGCCCGGGGGCCGCATGTGCCCCCCCGAGGTTTTTGGACCGGCCTCAGGCCGCTCCTGCCGCTGCTGTCCCCCGCCGCCGCCACCGCCGCCGCCCACCATTATGATATTGATTATTGTTGTTATTACTTGTTCTTGGGGTTTTCTTGGCAAAATCTCCACAGGGGTTTTGCCATGGCTTTTCTGGGGCTGAGAAAGTGTGCATGCATATTTTTTATTTTTTATTAAAAAATTATTTATTTATTTTTGGTGCTTTGGCCCCCCCCAATTGTCTGAGGGACAGCAACCTGGCCCCCGGCTCAAAAAGGTTGCCTACCCCTGCATTAGACAAATCCAAATTGGGCAGCTTTTATCTTGTATTTATTAAGCAATATATTAACATTACTTCTAGTGATTCTCAACAGCTGTGTGGATGCGTTCCAGAAACTGTTGGGTCTGAACTCCCAGAAGTCCCAACCAGAGTGAGGTCCAACACTATTTGGACTCTCCATGGTTCAGGCGTATTGCTAAAAGAACCAGAATGACCCAGAATACTTTTTCCTCCCTATCTCCTCCCGTATTTCACAGATGAAAACAAGGACATGTGTGGCTGAGACACATCAGAGGACGTTTTCACACGGGGCTTTAGACGGAGGCAATCCTACCTCCGTCCGGCCCCACTCCGGCTCCACTGTCAAACTTTTCACACGACGTCGCATCAAGCACCGCCCCATCCAGCGCCATCCCCGGCGCTATCTGGCGTCCATCCGGGGTCTTGCTGCGCGTGTTCATACGACGTCGCAGCAAGCCCCGCCCCATCCAGCGCCATCCCTGCGCCATCCCCGGCGCTGGCCGGCTTTAGCCCCGTCTTTCTAATTCCTTTTTTAAAAAGGAATTAGAGGGGCTGCTGCCGGAAGCAATCAGGAGCCATTCCGGCGGCTGCTGTTTTCACCGCCGGAATGGCTCTTCTTTGCTTCCAGGCGGCTTTAGAGCCGTCCGTGTGAAAACGTCCAGAGTGTGGTCAAAAGGAGTGTGGCTAGGTAACAAAAAGGCAAAAGTTATTAATGAGGAAGAACACACAAATGCACTAACTGAAGTGTGACCAAAGGAGAGTGACTAAAATGCCCTATGAGGAATGACTTAGGGAATTGGGTATGTTTAGCCTGGAGAAGAGATGGTTAAGAGGTGATATGATAGCCCTCTTTAAATATTTGAAAGGATGTCTTATTGAGGAGAGAGTGAGCTTGTTTTCTGCTGCTCCAGAGAATAGGACCCAGAACAATGGATGCAAGCTACAGGGAAAGAGATTCCACCTCAACATTAGGAGGAACTTCCTGACAGTAAGAGATGTTTGACAGTGGAACACACTCCCTTGGAGAGTGATAGAGCCTCCTTCTTTGGAGGTCTTTAAACAGAGGCTGGATGGCCATCTGTCGGGGTGCCTTGACTATTTATTCCTGCATGGCAAGGGGTTGGACTGGATAGCCCTTGTGGTCTTTTCCAACTCTGTGATTCTATGATTTTATTATTCTGTTTCAAGCAGAGAATCCTGGATTATATGTACTGAGTTTACAAAAGTTGGATGGGAGATAGATCTCAAATCAAGAAATACTTGTGTTGGCATCTTAATTAGGCATTTATGATGTTGTGAACCAAGCTTATGACGCTGTAATGGTTTGATATTGGCATCATTCCACAATCTTAAATGTTCCTGAAATCCACCTTAAAATCCAAGCAGCCACACCAAGGGATGGCGGGAGATCTCAAATTAAAAAATACATTGCTTGGGTTGGCATCCTATTAGGCATGTATGATGTTGTAAACCAAGCTTATGACCTTGTAATGGTTTAGTATGCAGCCTTATGATTTTGGTCCAAGACGCACTGCAGAAATAATCCAGTTTCACTGCCCTGGCTCAATGCTAGGGAATTCTGGGAACTGTAGTTTCATGGGACATTTAGTTTGCTCTGTCAAAGAGCTCTGGTGCCACAATAAACTACAATTCCCAGGATTCCCTAGTACTGACCCAGGGCAGTGAAAGCAGTCTCAGACTGGATTATTTGTGCAGTGGGTTTTGGACCATCGGCACCATTTGGCGGGGGGCAGCAGGGGGCGGCGGCAGCAGCGGTGGCAGGACCGGCCTGGGGCTGGTCCAAAGGCATCAGGGGGCCGCATCCGGCCCCTGGGCCTTAGGTTGCTTACCCCTGCTGTAGGGCATTTGTGTTTGGGCATATTTTTTCTGCTCTGTCATATTTTAAAAACCAGAAAACAAACACCTATCTGGCCTGATTACTCAAAACAAGCCACCAAAAGTATATCTGAACATAGCAGATGACATTTAGGCTTCTACAAAGTCAGATCTGGGGCAAAGGGGGAGGAAACTTCTCAGGACTACATTTCCCAGAATCCCCAACCAACAAAGACATGCTGATAAGGATTCTGGCAGTTGTAGTCCCAGAAGTAATGTTTCCAAGCTCTGAGAAGGCACTGCAAAGTAGATCGGCCATCCCAAGGGTCCCCTTTCAACAACTGTGGCTGCATCCGCATTGCAGTTTGACACCACTTGAACTACCATGGCTCAGTGCTATGGAATCCTGGGAATTGAAGTTTGTTGTGGTGCCAGCACTCTCTGACAGAGAAGGATAAATGTCTCACAAAAGCTACAAATCCCAGCATTCCATAGCATTGAGCCAAGGCAGTTAAAGTGGTGTCAAACGACATTACCTCTGCAGTGTGGATGCATCCTGTGCTTATAGGAAATCAACGAAGGAGAATGGCTAGTCTGGCTGCACAGCACCAGCTAGGATATGCTTCTGTGATATATGCAACTGGATATATATATATATATATATATATATATATATTGGAAGGAGTGGGGAATCCTTCTGTCTGGCACTAAGAGAAAATTCAGCTGAGCTGAATTACAAGCACTTGAGCGAATGACTTTGGAATACAAAGAAGCTGAATACAAGGAGCAAGGCAGTGAAGAATCCACTCCTGTGTGGATTCAGGTTTTCTATTCACTCATTTAACCTGGAGGTCTGAGCCATTGAAATTTTCAGGACTAGTATTTGGGCATTAAAAAAAATAATCCACAAATAACTACAAATGTGGAAATGGCAACATCTCCAGAATACACAGCTCACAGCACAATGAGTCCTAGAATTAGAAGTCAGACCAATTGATTCACCTAGATTAAAACAAACAAATAAACAAACAACCCCAATTTTTTTGTTGTCTGCCAAACTCAGGAATCTTCCCCCAGTTTTGTTCTTCCCTTTCCCTCAAAATGTTACATTTCCAATGGGGTAAAAGAAACCAATATTTTTAGCCTAGTGTCTTCATCAGCTCTTGGAATGATCTGTCCTAGAAGAAACTGGGCAGTGTTATTGTTATTCTGTAATTCACTGTTCTGATCCATATGATTCAGTATCCTACGATTATTCTACAGTGTGACACTGGTTTCTTTCACACTACATAGCTATAGCACTCTGATGCCACTTTTAATTGCCATGGATGCATCTCTTAGGATCCTGGGATGTGCAGTTTAGTCAGGCACTTGAGCTCTTTGGCAGATACTTCTAAACATCTCATGACAATGCAACTCTTGGATATCAAAGGGCCAAAATACACTGCAGGAATAATCCAGTTTGAGACACAGCAAATCATAGAGTGTGATATAGGGTTGCCAGGGTGCCAGTGCCATTAAGGCTTGCATTGCTGTTGCTGCCTGCCTTCAAGCTGTTTCCGACTTATGCCAACCCTAAGGTGAACTTATCCCAGGTTTCTTTTTGTTTTTTTGGCAAGTTACTTCAGAGGAGGTTTGTCATCGCTTTCTCCTGAGGCTGAGAGCTTGTGACTTGCCCAAGGTCACTCAGTGGGTTTGATGGCAGAGCAGGGAATAGAATCCTGGTCTCTGGAGTCATAGTCCAACACTCAAACCGCTATGCCACACTGGCTCACAGGGTTGAATAAGGGTTGTATAGAAGAAGGAATTTGAGCAAGTGTTGCATTTCATGCCACCATTCCCCTCTTCTGCACAACTATCAAAGGTATAGAAGCTCTCTCCAGCCCTAAGTGTGAATGATGCCACTACATTTGGGTTATCCCCAGGTTATGTCTGATGCCAGGACCTGGCATTCCTGGGCAGGTCCTGGGGCTCTGCTCTGGACACAACCCATATTTTATTTTATTTTATACCCTATATTTTAAAAAACCCTACAACATTATGGCCTGGTAAATGGGGTGAGTATAGATGCTGTATTTATTTCCCACAGTGCCCCAAGGTGGAATCATTGGAGGGCATTGTGGGATATTAAAACACAATCAGCCTCAGCCTCCCAGTGCTGTTTGTAGCATTGCTTCAAAGGCAACTTCCCAACTGACAATTATCAAAGCTCCTGTAAAAAGGTGACTCATTCATACCCACTCCAGAGTGAAGAAATGATGCTGCGTGGGACTACAGCTCCCATAATCCCCCAGACAGCGTGGGTGGTGATGAATTCTAGGAGCTGTAATTGGGACAGGTGGGGAAATGATCATTTTCAAGCTCGAAAGCTGCCCATGGTGCTGAACCATTTTGCCTGCCTTCTTATTATGGGACTTTTCTTTCTGAGCTTTTTCACATGACACAATTAGAGGGCTTTGATTCCACTTTAATTGCCAGGGCAACACTGCGGTATGCAGTTTGGGGAGGGATATTCTGAATTTTCACCCAGAAAGTGACACCCAAATGCCAAACCAAGGATTCCACAGGACATTGCTGCAGAAATTATAGCCATATAATTATGTAGTGTGAAAGGACCCTGGATCTCCCATTCAGCATCATTGATGTACATACACCCAAGTGTTTACACATCTGCAGTTAAGGTACATCATTCAATGCAGCTGCTGAGTTACCTTTTGCTTTCTCTTCAAAAATTGCTCATCTGGTGCATGTTTAACCAACAGAGCAAGTACTTTCTTGGCTTTTAAATCAGCAGATGACTGGTTTTTGTTGCTTTGTTGTTTGTTGTGTGCCTTCAAGTCATTTCTGACTCATGGAGACCCTTAGGTGAACCTATCATGTAGTTTTCCTATCAGAATTGCTCAGAGGGGATTTGCCTCTGCCTTCCCCTGAGGCTGAGAGAGTGTGACTTGCCCAAGGTCACCCAGTAGGTTTCCATGGCTGAGCAGGGATTCGAACCCTGGTGTCCCAGTGTCCAACATTCAAGCCGCTGCTCGACTCCAATGGATGGTGACCGTATCATATGGTTTTCTTGGTAAGTTTTATTCCGAGGTTTGCCTTCTTTTTAAGCCAAGAGAGTGTGATCTGCCCAAAATCATCCTGTGAGTTTTCTTGGTTAAGTGGGGATTTGGACAAAACTACCTCTGAGTATGTGTCTTGCCTAAGAAAAACCTATGAAATCCATAGGATTGCCATAAATTGACAGGCAACTTGAAGGCACATACATACACATGATTGTTGTTATTAATATATTTATGTATACCCCACATTTCCCCCTCAAACTCAAGGGTCAGGCATTAAAGGACAAATGACCCTATGCCTTTGAAATGTTTCCAGAGTCACCTCCCATCATCCTTGAACATTGGCCATGTTGAGTGGGGTTGATTATTTTAGAAGGCTGAATTCCTATCATAAGGAGCAGTTTTCTGCAAACAAACAGGGTTGGGATCCTTTCCTGCATCATGCATGAACCAGTTATTTTGAGAAGTAAATGTTTCTATAAATAATGGGTTTTTTTGGGGGGGGGGGACACCTCTGCAGCTGGATCCCTTTGCAAATTTCTTGAGGCTCTGCGCACTAGAGAGAGAGAGAGAGAGAAGGAAGGAAGGAAGGAAGGAAGGAAGGAAGGAAGGAAGGAAGGAAGGAAGGAAGGAAGGAAGGCAGGCTTGAATAATTGCAACAGATCTTCTTCAGAGAACACCCAGGTTAAAATATTGTGGAAAGATTAAGAGGGCTTTTGTCTGGCAAGTGAAGGAAAGATATCATTCTGGTTCAGTGAGCCATAAGTGTTTAAAGTTAATCAAAGTCTGAGCTGCGGATGCAAGGAAATGCTTACAGCCGACTACAGATGCTCATGCAGTGTTGGTAGCTGATGTTGATTTTATGATCTCAGGTGGGTTTCCCCTCTCCTCAGTTTTTGGCAATTGAGACTGAAGCAATGATTTATTACCCTTCAACTGGCTGCTGTTGGCCAAAACAAGCAGAAATATAAGGGGAGAAACCATATTACTTGAACAGAACCAAGACCAATAATGAAACACAGGATGGCAAAATGTAGGTGACTTACGGTACTATGGCAAGTCACTTTTTGGGTTGTTGCAGATGATAGATTTTGCTACTGACTGCACAACAATCAAAATCCCCTCTGCAACCCACTTTTTCTCATCTACAACCCCCAAACCAGCCATTTCCCAGTCAGTGGAAGGAGAGGAGCAGCAGACAAGTGTCCAGCTAATGTCCTTTAGCAGGACATAGAGCAATTCCATTGTCCATAGGAACCTTGGGAAGACTGCCTGAGGACCCTGGAGGTGCCTGTCCCTATGCATCCAGTTATAGGAAGATAGCTGGATGTTTGTCTGTTGCTTCCCACACACCAGAGAACAACCATGTTTGGAAGGATTGCAACTGAACAAAAGGTGGGTTGGGTGGATTCAATGGGAGACTATTGTAACTGTATCTGAGGCTGCTTCTGCACTGCAGAAATAATGCCATTTGACAATGCTTTAATTGCTATGGCTTAATGCTGAGAATTATGGATTTTGTAGTTTTGTGAAACATTTAGCCTTCTCCGTCTGGTGATAAAACAAATGACAAAGACCTTGGAGGTCTTTAAGCAGAGGCTGGATGGCCATCTGTCGGGGATGCTTTGATTGGGAGTTCCTGCATGGCAGGGGGTTGGACTGGATGGGCCTTGTGGTCTCTTCCAACTCTATGATTCTATGATTCTATGAAATCCCAAGATTCCATAGCATGGAGCCATGGCAGTTAAAGTCCATATATCCATATATTTTTGCAATTCAGGTGCAGCCTAGATGAAGAATTGTGGCCATGTTTTGGTCCATGTTATGTCAAATCCAGCTCTGGTGCAAGAGATGGAATGGCATCACAAAATCATTGAATTGGAAGGGACTTTAAATGGCCATTAAATCCAGCTGTCTGTCATGCAAGAGTATTCCCAAGAGATAACTATCCAACTTCTGTCTAAAGGCTTCCCAAAGAAGGGGATCCCATTGCCTTCTGAAGTAGCCTATTTTACCAAACCAGCTCTTAACCTCAGGAGTTCTCCTTAATGTTTAGTTGGAAACTCCTTTCTTGTACCTTGAATCCATTGCTTTGGGACCTGCCTTCTGGAGCAACAGAAACCAAGCTCACTCCGTCTTCCATATGAGAGCCTCTTGGAAATCAAAGGACTCACCTGCACTACCGAAATAATGCAGTTTGACATCACTTTAACTGCCCTGTCTCCATCCTATGAAATTCCATTTTTGTGAGACATTAGTTTCCTCTGTCAGAGAGTTCTGGTCCCACAACAAATCCCGGGATTCAGATGGCCATCCAGCTTCTGTTTAAAAACCTCCAAAGGAGACTCCACC